AGTGGGGATGTGGCCGGCCGGCGCCAGGGCTGACCGAGGCTCCACAACAGAGTTAGCCACAATGCTAAGCTAAACGCCTTCTTTTTGCACCGCAGGGAGTTGGTGCCAGAGCTGCTGCCTGATGCCAGTGCTGATGTGCCAGGGCTGTCCCGAAGGGCTGGGGGGGGTCAAGGGAGGGGGGAGTAATATATATATATATATATATATATATATATATAGGTGTTGACCAGAAGACACATTTTTTATGGTTAAAAATAGTATTTTAGAAAAAAAAAAGGAAGATGCTACTCGACCTGATTTTCTTGACCTTAACACAGGTGTCCTTGGAGGTAAATCTACTCACAGCTTTAGTGACTGTTCAAAGCTCACCACATTCACGGTTAAGTATGCAACCCCTAAAGCTGCAATGTCACATGGGTAACTGGGATACACACACACACACACTCACTCACACACACACTAGTGTGTGTGTGTGTTATGGATGACCAGCTCTCCCATAGACAAGCAACATTAAAAACACATGTTCAATGTGTCTGTGTCTGTTATTTCCTGTGTGTGTGTGTGTGTGTGTGTGTGTGTGTGTGTTTGCGTTTGTGCTTCACTTCTGATTACATTTCCGGAATTCTATCAAATAGCACTTTTTCATTCAGTTATAATCAGAACGTAACTAATACATACATTTGTAAATGAGTAAATATGTTGCGTGTTTGAAAAAGAATAAATTATTTATAATAATAATAAAAAAAAATTCCCAGCTTCAAAATTCTAAACATGTGCTCAAAGAGAGGGGAAAAAATACTGTATTTAATAAATATTTGTGTAGGGTTTGAAGCAGATTAGCTGCACTACCACAAGTGGCCACTGGGAGAAAATGCCCAAGGTGTAGAGTTTGTGTTGAGTACACTCATTAAAGAGACTGTGTTTATTTTTGTCTGGTGTTAATTGGTGTTTGACAAACCAGTTAGGTACTGTAGTAGTATTTTCAGTGAAAATCATTTGATTGGCTCTTGGAAATCAAACACCTGATTGGTCCAGGTGAATGTAAAGATATTTATTTATTTATTATTATATTACGCTGTAACATTTGAGATTCATGCAAAGTTTTATCTCAAATAAACTGTGAATAAAATAAACTAATTAACTATTTAGATTATTTTGTGTTTTTTTACTTTAAATAGTACATTTACATCATAAAATATGTATTCTCTAATTTTACAGTAAAAAACTTAATGATATTATTACATTTGAATCAAATCTATTTTATGTGTGTAATCTTAAAGAGAACTAATGATCTGCCGCGGCCTCATTTTTTACACAACACAACAAGATTCTCCCCCACATGTGGGAGTCTGGACGTGAACGCAGCATTGATTTCAAACAAACGCCAACAACGTTATCAATCAAGCAGACAGGGGGAGATGTAATCTGGAGCAACAGGCCTGCGCTGGTGCCAGAAATTGATCAAACCATCAAGCTTCAAGTGCAAAAAAGCTAATAGAAACAGGCAGGACCTGGGACTCTGGGAGGAGGGACGGAGAAAGCTGTTCACATCTGGAGTCTTTCCTCTTGTCATCAGATAGATGGATGTTAACTTCCAGCGCTGTGGAAACAACAGCTTCCTGTGCTGCCGATAACAGCGACGGAGAGACGTAAAGGGATTGAGACAGGAGGAGAAGTCGGGGAACAAATGAAACAGATGTACTGGACAGATGATGAGAGAAAGCTTTCAAAAATAAAGAAAGAGGAAAACTGCCTAAGAAGGAGGAGAAGAGGTCTGGTGACCAGGCCTTCTGCCCTGTCTGCCACGGTCCAAAAAACGCTCTGAAAAATCCAAACATGTCCTGGTTTTCCACTTTGATTAACAACTTACAAACTTAGAGTTTTCTGATGAAACTCACCGGTTAGCATTGAAGCTAAAATATATTTCATATTTTCATCTAATCTGGCTGCGTTCTTATTGGTTGTTTCTTATGAAATGTTAACAGCTTTTTGGATCATCTGCTGATCATAACATTTCAATTTACAGGATAATTGCAAACTGTTCAAAGCAACTGTTTTATGAACATTGTGGGACATTTATAGAAATGTCATTCCTTTTTATCTGCGATTTGGCAGCTGCACAGGTGGCAGAAACGCAAAGAGACAAAAACCAAGCAGAAAGAAAGACCAAGAAAAGCCTGTCTCTCTAAGAAAGCTGTCACTTTGTTTCTGACATGATTTTTTTTTTCTGCAGCCACAACAGACAAAGATGTGCCAGCGTTGCCACAACTACTACACGTTAGCAACAACAAGCCTTCTGTCTGGTTCTGTCTCTGTTTGTGCCGACAACCACTGTTTCACCCAAACACTGACGCTCTCTCCCGTCGCGGCCTCTTCCTGTTCTCCTGTCTCTACTCTAAAAGGTGAATGTGAAGACACATCTGTCATATGTGTGGACAGAGAGACAAATTAACTCAGCAATTAACTTGTATTTTACTTTTTTTGCACAAATGATAGTATAAAAAAGTATAAAAAAAATCCTAAAGTTACAAATACTTGTGTAATAATAATTGTGACCAGGTGGACCAGTCGTTATAAATCAACACATAAACATTCTCACGCACACACATAAGCTTTGAGAGACAGACAGGAAGTCGAGGAGGAATTCCCAGGCGGACATTTCTCACGTTCCTGCAGTGATTGGAAACACACTCCCGTAAAATGGCGGCAGAACATAATTTCCAGGTGAGGAGAGAAAAGCTCTAACCTCTTCCCCTCTCCTTAAACCCACTCTAACCCCACAGCCCTGCAGCTGCCCCCCCCCACACACCACAGACAATATCCTCCTTGATATTATCCTTAGTGACACACTGACAAACACACACACACACACACACACACCTGTTGTCACCTGGAGGGGGTTGGCCTTTTCTCGGACTAACGTCAATACACAATGGTTTGATTCTGCGGCTGAATGGAAGCAGGTGAACAGATAGCATCTGGATAAATGTGCGCTCACGTGCGTGCACGAGCGCACACGCACAAACACACACACACAGGGCTACTGAGGAAGTGAGGCTACAGACGGCCTCCACCTGGTCAGCCCCGAGGTAACACCAGGAAAATACCAAGGAACCCATGAGCAATGAAGAAACAGAGAAGGAAACAGAGGAAGGCAGCGTGAAAGAGAGATAAATGAGGAAAGAAAGAAAGAAAACGGAACATTTACAATTAAACATATGTATATATTATTTTGACATTATATTATATTATATTTTATATATATATATATATATATATATATAGATATATATATATATATTATGAGAACTTAGGATAAGTGTCTAATAAATGCCCTGATTCAACCAACATTGTGGTTTTGGTGTTGATGTTTGAAGCAGTGATAGGTCACATAAAAAGAAATAAAATTTAAATAAACTGAGGACAAAGATGTTTAAACATGATTCTAGGTCAAATCTGTTGATTTGAAGACCATCACACTTAATTATTCTATCCTCTACAAATAAACATTTATTTATCATAAATTCAAGCTTATTTCTTTACCACCACCAAGCTCGTTTTAATGCTCTTGCCTTTCAGTGAGGAAACTGCTGCTTTGATTCCCAGTCATTCTGTATAGAGTTTCCATGGTTTCCCTCAATCTCTCTGACCAGTCCAAAGACATGCTGTTAGATTAACTGGACAGTCTAAGTTGATTACAGGTGGGTGTGTTTGACCAGCCTTCACCTGAGGACTGAGGCTGGAAAGTGCTGAGCTGCTTCAGATAAATGGAGTCAAAAAAGCATCTTAAATAAGTGACATGACGTCAACATTAAACATGTGGTCCCAGCAGCTGTGATGTACAGTGGTACGTGATGTGTGTATGACACTGTAACTGCAACGGAAACACCACGTGTTCGTGTTCCTAACCCAACAACTGGAACACATGTTCGCGGCCCACTTCTACACGTGGGTCGTATGAGCCGACAAATACACTCAATATTAAAGACGCTCAGATGTGTTCAGATGAACGAGATAAGAGTTGGACAGAGTGGCAGACCAAGTGTCGTTTTTAGAGAAATGGAGCGTGTGTGTGTGTGTGTGTGTGTGTGTGTGTGTGATGTAGAGACATCTGCGACATGAGTCAGATGCTGAGGGAGTCATGCATACACTGCTAAGTGCATTCTCCTCTTCTCTCCTCCATTCATTTTTCACCACACATGCCAGCGAGGCTCAGACACTCACGGTAATTATCTCCATGTACCAGAAAGTGTGTGCACGTGTGAGCGTGAGCGTGAGGCGGCGGTGAAGCCGTGCATCAGGAAGCTTCTGATGCTTAGGTGTAAAAAATCCCATTACAGTGAACGGGGCAGCGGATCGATACCTTACGGGATCTAGAGTGATGGTGCGAGCACATGTGTGTGTCTGTGCGTGTGTGTGTGAGAGAGAGAGGGAGGGAGACAGAGAGAGGGAGTAAGCGCTTTAACACCTCTCAGAGGTGGATTAGAGCGCGACAGAATGGAGACACTGTCAGAGAGGGTTAGTGTCAGAGACAGAGGAGAGGAGAGAGAGGAGCGTGGGGAAGGAGTACGGTGCAAGTTGAACAGGAGGGAGGAGGAAAAAAAGAGTAGGGAGTGGGAGGTGTCGGTGATGAGGACAGTGGTCTGCACTCAGTCAGGGTCTTTGAGGTGGAAGAAGGAAACGGTAGAGAGGCACCGATGGCAGGTGTTTGATTTACAACGTTTTGCTAAGTGTGACATGTAAACGATTCTGGTTTCCTTTGACTGGAAACAAATACAAAGTTGTATTCTCATAACTAGTAAATATGAAACCCACAAAGTGCACTCAGTCACGTGTCTCTCTACAGTTGAACATGTTTCAAAATAAAGTGCCTGTCGACTCGAGTGATGTGCTGAAAACAGTGGTTCCTGTGAACTCAAACTGACAAATGAAACCCCAGGCTATAGGTCTGCATAACAAAACAATAAAAAAAATGATTACATCATTAAATAATATATTACATACTGTATATTATTATTGTAGTGACGTTCAGTTAATATGAACAAAACCTCTCCTTTTCCTTAAAAGGTACAGTGGGTAATAAGGGGTATCAAGGAGGGGCAAAGGGCTGTTCTTTGAGCATTAATACAGTTTCTTGTCACAAACAAAACATCTTTACTTTGTCACCTAACAGACCAACAGCAGGGAAACCAACAAAACCAAAAAAAACACACAAGCTCAGAAAATGATTCTGATCTGTAACTGGTCGATCGGTGCATCGTTAAAAAAACAATAAAAGCAAATAGGTAGCACAATAGTCATGCTGCCACTAATACTGACCTACACATCTGAAGTACACCAGTGTGTATTTGTTAAGGTTGATTAACAATGAATTATGGGCGGAGCTTTGCTCAGGGTCAGAAAAAAAATTCCTTAAAAGGTACAGTGGGTAATAAGGGGTATCAAGGAGGGGCAAAGGGCTGTTCTTTGAGCATTAATACAGTTTCTTGTCACAAACAAAACATCTTTACTTTGTCACCTAACAGACCAACAGCAGGGAAACCAACAAAACCAAAAAAAACACACAAGCTCAGAAAATGATTCTGATCTGTAACTGGTCGATCGGTGCATCGTTAAAAAAACAATAAAAGCAAATAGGTAGCACAATAGTCATGCTGCCACTAATACTGACCTACACATCTGAAGTACACCAGTGTGTATTTGTTAAGGTTGATTAACAATGAATTATGGGCGGAGCTTTGCTCAGGGTCAGAAAAAAAAAAAGAAGGAATTCTGTTGTTCCATTTCCAGTGACAAACAGAAGCTACACACAGCACTGAACTCAGACAAACTATTTTTGGAAACAAACTCTACATTTAACGACCTTAATAAAAGCTGTTGGATGAAGAGAGTCTTCACCTCCACACAGACACAGACACAGACTCGGACTCAGATACGCTCCCGTATGTTATTTCAGCTTTAACTATTAAAGTTAGTGAACATTCCCAAACACAGCAGCAGAGTAAACATCAAACAGCCAGTGCATTAAAGTCATTTCAGCAGCGAAACATTTCATCTCAAACGGCTGCGACCTGGCTCATAAATTTGTGGGTGTTTAGGGGAAAATGCCCTTGAAATGTTGGTAATTGCCCATGAAATTTCCATGATGGGGATTTTTAATGCCCCGTAAGAGAGCGAGATAACTTTTGCTAAGCCACACTGTAAAAAAAAACAACAACAGCCTACCAGCTAGTTTTCCACGGCACAGAGAAAAAACTCAAGAGTTAAAACTGTAGTCAGTAGAATGTGTGAATGAAATTTTTCTGACTTTATTTTTTAGATTATTTATGACAAAAATGATTAAAAAAATTCATTCATTCAACTCAATTTAACGTTAATCACCTTATATGGTGACTCTTCAAATTATAAACAATGTTGTAAATCGTTGTAAAGTAGCTCTAACTAAATGTCACGTCAAACGTCTGGCCTTTGTCTGCAGAAAGAGTGGAAACGACTACCATCTATTTGGACAGAGTAGATGCTGAGTCTGCAGCTGGTTTTAGTGCAACGTCAATACATGTGATTTAGCTGCAGTGATTTAGTGAGCTGTCGTTTAGTGAGTCTGAAAGAGTGATTAAAATCAATTTAAAAAGCCCACGTATGATGAGCGGTAATAGGTTTGACATTCACTTTGTGTTTTTGTTGTTTGGAAAACATTAAAGTTTTTTTTTTCTCAATTTAAAAATATTTACTTTCCCTTTTATCAGCAATGTTTCCTCACACATGGGTTTGAGAAAATACTTTCAAATGAGCCACTTAATCAACTCAGACCGAGCAGAGCGGTCAGCTGCAACTTCTGGATCTCACATGGAGCAGGAATTAATTAGAGCGGTCAGCTGCAACTTATGGATCTCACATGGAGCAGGAATTAATTAAATGTGTAAAAAAGACTTCGTACTGAGTGAAAGTCATGTTTAACTCTTAACATCAGAAATTTGACAGTAAAATTTAAAAAAAATATATCGACATAAAAATCAGAAAATGTCGAAATGCACTCTCACAGTGTGTATGTGTGTGTGTGTCGCCCAGTGATCACATGACTTAGCGCCTGTGTATCTGTGTGTGTGTGTTGGGTCAGCACACAGCTGTTCCATTACTTCCCCTTCACGTCTCAGACGTCGAGGCGACCACAGCAGACAGGCCGATGGCCGGGCTGCTGAGGAGCCACCGACTGACCGAGTGAGGTCACAGGGGTCAAAGGTTGGCACCAACAGCAGCCTCACCCTGAGACAAACCACTGTGTGTGTGTGTGAATGAACATCACACATTGATGTGGGACTTTGCTTCAGCAGCTGGTGTACACATACACACACACATACTTACACACACACACGGCAGCATGTACTGTACATGCACAGCCATCACATTTCCCATGAGCCCCAGTGAGAAACATACATTTATTGGAAAAGATAAAAAGATAAAAGGTCCAAATAATACACATAAAAAGTGACAACATAACACGCACACACACACACATGTAGAAACACACACACATGCAGCGTATACAGACACTCGGGTGAACGTGTGACAGATGCCCAACACATTGGTGTCCGTTCAGTGAGTATAAAGAGCAGCTGCTCAGTCTTCACTGCCCTCTGGCACTGCACGAACACACACACACACACACACACACACACACACACACACACACACATGCTGTTTCTGTTCAACACTAATGCTGCAGGACATTTCATATCTGGCAGATTAGAGATTAGAAGTGCACAAAAGCAAAAAAAAAAAAAATACAGTCAAAGACAGAAAAGGACCAGAGCAGAGAAGAAGGAAAGGGAAAAAAAGAGGAAAGAAAAATGAGGGAAAAACTGCAGTCATCGATTCTCTACATCAATCTGTGTCACACCACAATCCATCTGTGTCTCATGTACACACTTCCTATAGGTCTCTGCCTGTGGTTAAATCGTTCCCTGAAGGAAACACACTGACAGACAGACATCCAAATACACACACACACACAGAGACACACACGATACTAATAAATGGTGATAACTCAGAATTCTAAATAAAAGGGTGAAATATAATCTAAAAAGATGATTCATTTTGAAATTATTTCTTACATTGAATCAAAAGCCTTCTATGAAAAAAACAGCGCTCTAATTCTGTTACTCTACTTCTAGGGTTTGGTGGGTGTGAGGGTCGCCTCCTGGGGGGTAGGGGGGCTGACAAAGCACTCCAGGGGTGATGCAAACGGAGGACAAAGAATGGCAGATGAGTCATTTTAAGTCAACTAGTCATATTATAATTAAGATGAAATGACAACATTTAAACTAGCTCATAACAACTGCAAGAAAACAGAGTGAGTTTGACCTCAAAGAACTGGTGTTGACGTCAATTTTTTCTCAGCACAAAAAAAAAAGAAAAAATCAAGGAAGGATCACGATGTCAGACAAACAAACACAGCGCTTTCATAAAGGCACTGGCCGGTGACAAAAAGAAGAGCTGTGTGTCAGAGGAAAACAGTAAAATAATATTCAGCAAACTGTGATGTTCCACTGAACTCCAGAGCTGTGCCAGTTTTCGGCCACGGAGACTTCCCCGTCTCTGCTCCTCTCTGACTCCCATGGAGACATCGATCCGTCTGGAATATAAATCTCGGACCACTAAAAGATATTCCAGGAATATTCTAGCAAAAGCACATTTAAACATGTCACTCGTCCCCCCCCCCGCGCGTCCCCCGCCCCCCCCCCTATCCCTTCCCCTCTGGCCTCTGGATCACCCCCCTCCCTCT